GCTGCTGCTTGCGCTCCTGGCCGCTCCCGGCCCCTGTGCCAGCAGAGCCGAGTCCGCTCCGGCGCCGCAGCCTGACGCTGAGCCCCAGCCGCGGCCGCAGCCCGGCCCAGGCTCCGGGAACGCTACCCATACGGGGACCGGTGCGGCGGCGGGCGGCGGCGGCAGCTCCAACAGCAGCGGCGACGCCCTAGTGACCCGCATCTCCAGCCTGCTCCGCGATCTGCCCACCCTAAAGGCGGCCGTAATCGTGGCGTGCGCCTTCAGCGCTCTGCTCATCGCCTGCCTTCTTCTGCGCGTCTTCAGGTGGGTCCGCCGCCCTCTTTTTCCCTCGCGGGCAGAGCCGGCGGCATCGCCAACCTGCTGTCACCGCGCTCCCGCTCCGCCGGCGCTCACGGGTGGTCTGGGTGCGCAGCCACGCTTGGGTCTCAGCGCCTGGGTGTGCTCTAGCGAGGCGCGTGTCTCCCTGCCTTGCCCGGGAAGCTCGGGGCGCAGGGTGCGCGCGTTTCGTTGGCCCCTGGTGCGCAGTTTAGGAATTTTCTCCGAATTCTCTGACGTTTTGTCTCATAAATGTTGCATACCATTTAAATAATTCTTTGCTAATGCTTGACACTAACTATAGCTTTCCCAAATTCTGACAGCCTTGATGGGAATTGATTTTTATACCCATTTCACAGATGAGAAAACAATTTCCAGAGAGGTCAGGTGGTTTATTCAAGTAAACTCAGTGGAGCTGGGATTTGAAACCAGGTCCATCTGACTTTAATCTTACTAACCTTGCTACCCACCACCCCCTTCCCATCGGTGGCTCCCTCTCATCCCCACCTTCCTTTTTTCTTTTTCCTTTGTTCTGCTACCCAAAGTAGCAGTTCCTAGCGTTGGGGGATTGGAGAACTGAACTGGACTTCAGAATCCTTGGTGACCCTTGGTGGCCTCTGTGACTTTCTGTTAGTGGGGGACGCAGATGACTCTCCTGAGCCCATATCTGGCTGAGCTTCCTCCACCTAGAGTCTTGGACAAAAGTGACTTGGGCAAAAGCTGGTCAGTCCTCAGGCCTTTGGAGGTTGCTCAAGTTCAGAGAGGACGTGAGTCCCTGTGGGGACTGTGTCTGGGAAATTAGAAAAAAATGACCTGGGTCTGTGGAGTAGTGAGGCCAAGGGGGCCAGCAGGGATGCAAAGAAACGAACCAAATGTGTCCTGTTACTCAGCCCGCCCAGTTACGGGGAAATCTGAGTGTGTGTGTCAACTATTTTCAGAGCAGTCCCTCCCCTTCCAAGTGTACACACTATGCTTGGGTGTTTGATCAGTTGTTGAAGGTTTGGGGCCAGAGGCTTGCTCTCCTGGGGAAGCAGAAACCAGTCCTGGGAAGGAGAGGGTTACGAGGTTGGCTGATGTGACTTTGAGTCCGTTTGTCTCCTTGTAGGTCCACACAAGTGCTAGTGCTCCTGAGAACACAGAATGGGGGGAACTGTGATCCCGCATTGACCCCACCATCCCCTGCCTTGGTTGGCTTGATATTCTCTGGGCCTTGAATTGCTCCCCTCCTCAGCCCACTCTTCACATTGCTCTCGTCCCTCCTCTGCTTACAAATTTCAGTGGCTCTCTGTAGCCAGTCCAGATTCGTTGACTTGACATTCATGTTGTTCTTGCGTCCTTGCAGCCATTGACCAGCCCTTCCAAGACTCCCCTCTCACCACTTGCTCCTTCCCTATGTTCTCTGGTGCTGTCTTGGGCTTTCCTACTATCAGGCCAGTTCCTGCAGGCAAGACTGCCTTCAGCCACCAAGACCTAACTCTCATGCTCCTTCCTGTTCGTGTTTTCCTGGGCATTTGAGTGAGGCCGTTGCTTCCTTCTCTGTTCTCTCCCAGCCCTAACTTTGCGCATCCTTTAGTGTAATCCTTATCTTACTGTGCTGCTGTGCTTAATGCCCAGCTCTTATCTTAAGCAGAGAGAGAGCCTTGGAGGGTGGGGATGTCCAGCTAGTGCATCCTCGTCTCTCCACCGTCCGGCAGTCAGCAGGCACATCTCACATTGCTGAGTTCCTGAGTGTTCAGTTGGAGTAGACGTTAATGCCTAGAGCAAGTCTGAACCTGGAGGTTAGAAACATTTAGCTCAAAACAGGCCACCAAGCCCACAAGGACGTGTGCTTTTGAAGAAGGTATTTGAACTATGTTTCCAGTCTGCTGTTTATTACCCAGTAGTGGGGGAGAAAAGAAGGCAGCAGGCAGCCAGATGTTCGGGGACGGAGCTGCATGTTTGAGCTGGAGAGCCTGCACTTAGGCCTGGGAGGGAGGGGTCCTTGTTTGCTTGGGTGTGGAGTGTTGAAAGAAGGTGAAGGCTTCATAGGAGAGGCCGCTCATGGAAACACTTGGCCTCCTCTTCCGGGGAAGCATTCTTGCTGCGGTGAGTCTCTAGGTGCACAGCTGTCCCCCGGGTTTCTCTATTGACAGGAACCCATAGAATTTTATAACTGGGAGGGGCCTTGATGATACACAGTCCCCACAAGTACCTTTGCACATGAGAAAGTTGGTCCCAGATGGTAGAATAAGTCATTCCACTAGATTTGAGGACATTCTAGTCTGTGGCCAAGACAGGACCAGCATCCATCTCTGCTAGTCGGTGGTCTTGACCATGACCACTTTCCTTTCTACGTTCCTCTGTGGGCTCGGTGCATCAGGTTTATGAATGCTTGCTGGACTGGCCAGCACCCTCCTTACCTGATGCTGCTTCCATCTCCCTCAGCATGCAGTCACCAAGTCTCCCACAGAGACTATGTCATCTCTGCCCATGCCACTGTCCCCCAACAGAACTTCCCCCCTGCGACTTCTTCCTTCCTGGGCTGCCTCCCCACTCTGTCTCTCCTGAGTCAGTAATGTCCTTTAGGCTGGTTTCCTATCTCCAACCTTGTCCCTGTTCCACTCCACCCTCCCAGGTATCAGCCTGTCTCCTCCAACCACACCCCCGAGTACAAACTCCTTAGTGTGCCAGCAAGGCTGGCTCTTCACAGTCAGGCCCTGCCTCCCTCTCAAGCCCCTGTTCTGGGATCTCTCCAGTACTCCTCTGCCCGCTGTGCCAGCCCTGCTGAACTTCCAGGGATTCTTCAGAGGCACCATGTGGTCTCGGGCCTAGTGACTTGCCCCTCTCTGATCCTCTGTGTGGAGTCACTTCTGCCACCAAGACTCCCAAAAACAGAAACAAAAACAAAAACAGTTCCAACTCATCGCAATCCCATGTTACAGTATAGAACTGCTCCTTAGGGGTTTCTTGGCTATAATCTTTACAGGAGCAGATCTCCAGGCTTTTCTTCCCCAGCACTGCTGGGTGGATTCGATAGCCAACCTTTAGGTGAGTAGTCGAGTGCCACCCATTTGTGCCACCAGGGACTTTTTACCAAGACAACTAAAAACAAAACAAAACAAAACAAAAAAACCAATCCCATTGCTGTTGAGTCGCTTCTGACTTATAGGGACCCTATAGGACAGAGTTGAACTGCCTCATAGGGTTTCCAAGGAGTGACTGGTGGATTCCAACTGCTGACCTTTTGGTTAGCAGCCAAGCTCTTAACCACTGTGCTACCAGGGCTCCTACCAAGACTAAGAGCCAGCTAATTGTCATTTGCTCTCCCCTGCCAGGGCCCCTCTGTGCTCCAGAGCACACTTGGACTTTTGTATTTCCTACATGGACTCCAGAGCATGGCTGAGCTGTCCTTCGGCCTTGTACAGGGAGAGCGCCTGAGGGCAGGCCTGGGTGTTCATCTTCTGTGTCTGTCTGTATCTGTTGTGGTGCCAGGCGCATGCTGACATTTAATGGAGATAATTTTACCAAATGAATGTGGAACTCACAAGTATTGTACATTGCTGATGCTTCTCAAAATGCCCTCTGTGACCAGATGAATGGCTGGTGCTGGGAACTTATGAGGTAGGAATATTTTTCAATGGTGGCCCTTTAGTTTCTGAACAAGGTAGATAAAGGGGGAAGAGTGTAGTATTTTTGCTTATAAAATGGCAGTCCGAGTCTCTCTGTCTGTTTTTCCTGATGGAGCCATATTGCCAGACAACAAAAAAAATCTGATTCAAGAAAACTGTCGAAATTAGAAGCAAAGAATAAGTATCACAGTGAAAAATGTATGTATCTTTAACCAAGCAATTCCATTTCTAAAGTGTACACATTTTTCACTGCCATACCTATTCTTGGCTTCTAATTTTAGTAATTAGAAGAGGAAGCAAAGATGCATATGCACTGATAATTATAGCAGTTCTGTTGCATAGTGAAAAGGTTTAAATAACCTAAGTATCCAACAGCTGGGCATGGGTTAAATAAATTATGGTGATCCTTGCAGTGGAATGCTCTGCATCTGTTAAAACTGATGACATTGATATAATACTATGTATTGTTGCCACCACTAGTCTGTCAGTGAAGGAGCTGAACATGAGATTTCAAAGGGCAGCTCAAGAAGAAAGTAAAGTATTGTCGTGACATGTGCAAAGACCTGGAGTTAGAAAACCAAAAGGGAAGAATATGCTCAACATTTCTCCAAGTGAAAGAAAAAAAAAAAAAAAAAAATCAAGCCTTGAGTTACAATATTGAAGGACTCTGTGGGCAAAATATTGAATGACACAGGAAGCATCCAGAGAAGATGGAAGGAATACACAGAGTCACGGTATCAAAAAGAATTGGTCGATGTTCAGCTGTTGTCTGGAGGGAGCATATGATCAAGAACTGATGGTGCTGAAGGAAGAAGTCCAAACTGCACTGAAGGCACTGGCAAAAAACAAGGCTCCAGGAATTGACAGGATACCAACTGAAATGTTTCAACAAATGGATGCAACGCTGGAAGCATTTACTCGTCTATGCCAAGAAATTTGGAAGACAGCTACCTGACCAACCAACGGGAAGAGATTCATAGTTGTGCCCACTCGAAGAAAGGTGATCCAACAGAATTTGGAAATTATGGAACAGTATCATTAATATCACACACAAGTAAAATTTTGCTGAAGATAATTAAAAAATGGTTGCAGCAGTATAGCGACAAGGAGCTGCCAGAAATTCAAGCCAGATTCAGAGGAGAGTGTGAAACAATGGATATCACTGCTGATGTCAGATGGATCTTGGCTGAAAGAAGAGAATACCAGAAAGATATTTACTTGTGCTTTATTGACTATGCAAAGGCATTCGACTGTGTAGATCATAACTAATATGGGTAACATTTTGAAGAATGGGAATTTAGGAACACTTAATTGTGCTCGTGAGGAACCTCTACATAGACCAAGAGGCAGTCGTTCAAACAGAACAAGGGGATACTGATT